GGTGCTGTAGGATACACAGGATCCAACACAAACATTCAGTCTTTAACCACAGGTCACAAAAGCCAAATAAAAAAGCCTTTTATTTGCCTATTTGAAAAAAAACAAGACTATAAGAAGGTAAGAAGTAAATCTCTTTGCAAAAAAATGTCACTGGCTCTCTGTATCAAGCAAAGATCACCAGAGAAAGGGCAAAATTACATCAACTTAAAAGTGACATAAATTATACCGTATATTCACACTTTGCAAATAAGAGAAAAAACTGCCAAAACCCCTGCAATCTTCAAATCTGCTGTGTGCTCAGTCTTGCCCAATGTTTCCAAATACTGGGAGCACTGAGGGGAGTAAAAGTCACTAATATGAAGCAGCATACTCCTTTGGGCTTGGCATATGCAGAATACTGTAATGCAAGATTTCTTGCAAACAAAAGAAAGTTCAGAGCTTTCAAATTACAAAAAAAAAGGAAGCAGAATTATCCATTAAACTCTTCCAAAGCTTGTGCAAGTCTCTTCAGGAGCAATAGAATTTTCATTCCATGTGTCTGTCCAAAGAAGTACAACAATTGATGGAAATAAAATTAATTCCAGCCAGTTATCACCATGAAAACAGTTGCTGCTGGTTGTGCTGTACTCGAACTCATGAAACAAGACAGAAAACATCTTTGCAATGCGAGTGTAGAAACTGATACAGCGTCTAATGAAAACTCAAAGCCAGTCATCCAGTGCACATCTGCCATGAAAACTCCAGAAGATAACAGAAGTTCTGTATCCAATTTTTCAAAAGTATTTATTTAAGTACCCACCTACAAAGAGGTATAGCAGCTCCAAATCTATACCACTAGGCGACTGATCAAAAAGAGCATTGCATGAAAATTTACACTGGTGAAAACTTTGATGAGGACTATGAAACATATAGCTGAGGTCTCACTAATAATTCACAGTACACTTAAGGTCAAAAGGAAAAATATACTTGCTTGAAACATTGCAACGAAGGGGCATATACACTTTTTTAGATATAAAAAGTAAATTTTATAAATTACATGTAAAGCTTGAGAGGGTTATGAAGGCAAAATTTAAATGTATCACAGGGAATCACCATTGAGGATGCTGTACAGTACAGAGTACTGTCCCAGCCTGTCACTTGAGGAATGCTATGGGATCTAAACAAGAGCTATAGATATCAAAGGTCTTCTGTACCTATTTTTCAAATGTTTATGTTGTTAAGGCCTCAAATAAGTCACCATATCTACATTCAACAGCTCTTACTGTTCCTTTTGTTCCCAAAGCAATTAAAAAGAGGGATAAAGTCTACAGAAAAAACAACAGTAACCAAGACATTGTCTCACACACATCTCTAATCTACACAATGCAATTGCCATAAATTTTTTACCCTTCTGAAAGAAAAAGTAAATCAAGCATTCTTCTGCCCCAGAAGCACAAAAGCACCATCATGGCATGGCAATGCATCCAGCAAAAACTATGAAAATCTGTCCAACTCCTCACCTACTGCACTAATTATGAAAGCATGAGGTTACACTAAAAATAACCTATAAAATTCAAAAATTATGAATAAACACAAATTTAAAGAATTTATTTTTTCTTCAAGTAAAGCATTTGCTTAAATAACGTCAAAAAGGAAAAAACAGTCGCACTAAGGTTTGTATTTTAGATTTTTAAATTTATTTTCCTTCTATGTTAGCTCTCAAAGCTGACAAATACTGAAAAACAGAATGGGTTCTTAAAAATGACATCCTAAAAAATTATCATTCAGACAATTATGTTTTCAGTCAAGTAACATACAGTAAAATCTATCCACTCATTTCCAGTGACAAGGACCTTGCTATTCCCAATGTATTCCTACAAAATGCTGCACTTGGGCAGCTCCTTTTAATTGACACAATATTCAGGAGCTGCTATTTTTCAAAATGTGGTGATCTCCCTGAAATGGATACAAACGGTACCACAAGCTTCATGGCAAGTACAGCTTCAGGTCAGAAACATTTTATCTTACACCACAAGGCTGCCATTCAGGGCACATTAATAGATGACACAAAAGTGAGCTCCTGACAGTGATTCCTAAAGGACACTGTGCATTTAGGAAAGCAAAAATTGCCACATGAGACTAAGGGGACACAAAGTTTTCTGCAATCAGAATATCCACAGTAGGAGAATGAATGAAATGGAAGAAGAATTGTGTTTAATTGAAAAAAGACAGGAAACAAAATTACATGGTTTAATGCTAATATATATCCAAATGATTGCAGAGACACTAACCAGAGAAAACAAGGGTGGAATCTAGACTTCATACAACAGTACTGGTACCCTGATCAATGGATTTAAACACAAAAAAGATAATATTAAAATTTTAGAGATAAGCTCACAAAAAAACCCCAAAATCCAAAACCTATCTCCCCAAATACCAGCCTTTTAAATAGTTTGGAAAAGATGCATATTGATGAATCTACCTTGAAAATAGCACTCAAGACAATGACAGAAAGCAAAAAATTGATCTGTTTGAACTGAAATGAAGTTGCTCTATTTAATAGGGAGACCTATTTCTTAAAATAACTTCCCATAGTTACCATAAGCTGCATTTCATAGGTTTGATGTTGACCTAAAGCACCTTCTTCTAAGTCTTTCTATAGGATTTTTTTTAAAAGACTTGAAATACATGAGTTTCAAGCCTAAGCTCTACAGTGACTTTATAACAAAATTACGTTTTGTTACATGCTTAAAATAATCAGTTTGTAGTACTCAAATTCACCTTAGTTTTCACCCCAATATTGTCAAAATACATGAAATATTTTTTTTTTCAATCACAAAAGCACTTACTCCCTGAAAATAATTTCTGTGCTAAAGAGAGAGCATAGATTCCTGACCCCTTCCCCCCTCCTTGATTCTTTCAGCTTTCTGCTGGTATCACAGTAAAAACCTCAAGCACTAAAGAAAGAAAGACAGGATACGAGTCCCAAACATATACCACACATCACACTCACATCAAGTTAATCAGCTGCTCGCTCTTCAAGCGCCTACACTGGCAAGTGTCCTTCCTGTAATGAGCTAGCAGTTAATTTCTTACCTAAATAAATACAGTGGTAATGGTCAACCAGAAATTACCTGCATTTTTCCTGTTTTGTCAGGTCTGACCAAATGTAATCAGCTTACAATTACACTAAGTAGCTTGCTTAGCATTCTATTTATAAAACTGATTAGATGCTGCTAAGCAGAGCAGACAATGTTTTAACACTTTGATACTGAAAGCATTGGAGAAAGGGAGCAAGGATGGCAGAGAACAAAATCCATTCAGAAAACTGTAGAAAGATAATTATACGGGGCCAAATCTGTTGCTTTATACACACTTAAAAATTTTGTCATTATAGCAGATATTTAGAATTTTGGAATTATTGCTCTTAGACATTTAGATTACTCAAGCAGGTCTGAACAAGTGAATACTCAGCCATTCTGACTGCTGTTGACTGTTCCTGGAGAGAGAATATGGAATTGCCCTGACCTGGGAAAGAGAAAATCCAGGCTGCAGGAAAATTACAGACCATTGCTGAGGCCCTGGCCTGAGGTTAAGACAACTGAACAGGATGTGAAAAACTAAAGGGGCATGACATGAGAAATTGTCAGATGTGACAGATTACAAAATAAGATACTGACAAAAGCCACAGATAGGACCATGACGGATGACTGGATTTCACAAGCATTTAAAGGGGAGTTAGGTAAGAAACAGCCAAATTTCACAGAAAACTGAAGGGGGATCTTTAAGGTATTGGAAAACTTTTGGGAGGTAGAACCTGCAATATCAGCACTCCTTCTGGATCTGTAACACCATTGAAGCCTAGGATTCCTTATATAGTAACTTCAAACCAGAAGGGAAAAAGTAATCAGGGGTGAATAGATCTTCTGGGAAGAGACTGGGATTTTAAGAAACCATACAAATAGATAAGGAGGATGAACACAGATAAGCTGCGGAAAATGTAGCCAGTACTGTCTGGCACAGTCTTACCCTCATTCACCATATCCTCATCAGAATTGTGAAAGAACCACTTATTCTGATCTTACCACAAGTATCAAACTTGCTTCCACAATCAAGGAGGCAAGGAGGATGCCAGGGTGCTTCCCCTGGCTAACAGCAGGACTCCTGCCTGGACAGATCGAGTAACCTGGTTATCCCCATGTCAGCCAACATCCACATCCACCCTCCCTCCCTAAAAGGCTGTCAGACACTGTTTTTGACAAACTGCTTCAATTCAACTCCTCAATTCCTAATTTATATAATGAATGTAATACTGCTTTTCTTATCTCCTTTTATTAGGTTGTTTTTTGGCACTGGTGGCAACAAAAATCAAGGAAGTCAAAAGTTCCAGTTATTTAAGGGCTTAATATTTTCTCTTGCTACTTTATCTTTTAGGTAAAACTGAAGCTCATAAGTTCAAAGTTCTGAATTTTCATACATATTGCTGTAAGTTGAAGTCTGATTCCAATAATCAATGCCCTGCTTTTACAAGTAAGAGAATGGCAGGAGATTAATACCTTTCATACAGAGTAAAAGGTACTTATGGGATTGGATACTGATAGAGCTGAAAGGAAAATGGAGGAGAATTCAGTTCCTAACCTGACAGGTACTTGGGGAAAACAAACAAACAAAAAAAACCAAAAAAGAAAGGAATCCATAAACCAGGGCAAGGGATTAAAAGAAACAGCAGTTTATCTCTGCTTATTAACAACAGCCCTTATTCCAATTCTTTGTGGAGAATAATAAACATGACTTAATCTTAACAACAATGTTATGATAATTTTCCAAACACATGTACTCTTTGTTCATTACTAAGACATTCCATGAATCTACTACAAATTTGCAACGTCCTGTCAAAGACTATTGTTTCTTTAAAAGAGGAAAATAAAAGGGATTATATTATATATAATGGAGGGGAGGGGTTAATTACAAAATGCTTATATTGTATGCTAATTTATATTTATAGCAAGTGTTTTATTTACCTTTTTGTTTTCTTGTAGTTTTCCAGCTGTAATGTCTGCATACATTTGTATCTTTCCAATTCACACTGCTCACATAGTTCCTCAAGACACAACAGATGATTCTCCATTTCCTCAAAGTTTGCCTCTAGCTGGGCTGTAAGAAAGACTTGTATGGTTATCAAATTGCATCAACAGACAGACAACTCACCTGAACAGAAACAGGATTTTGTAAATAATTAACATGGTGATAATTACACACATATAAATGGCTCCAAAACATAAACAAATCTCAGCCCAAGTCCCACAGTCAAGAGTGGCAGCAGAGGCACGTTAAAGGGAGATCTCTCTGAGGTTCCCTTGTAGCAAGATGCTGAACCATTCTGTTTGTCCCAGCATTGTGGTGACACAGGCTCCTGGCCTGTATTTGAGGAAGAGAAGCACTCAGGACTCATACTTTTCCTTCTTGAGCAGACTGCCAGTTTAGCACTTCCTGCACAGTACTAATCCGAAAAATAAAGCTGTGCTGGCCAAAGGCAGGTCAAATCATCATTTATTCAAATGAAGCAAAAATAAAGCATATGGTGAGAATTTTAACTTTCACATGATGCCATGGTAATATAAAAGAACTTACATTTATGTCTCTGAAGACAGACCCTTTACTGATACCTAAACAGAGATTTACCAATTTTACATACACATGTAAATTTGACAATTAAATCTACCTATTTTACATATGCATCTCTTAATCTTGTCTTTAAATATAATTGTTCAGTCTCAACTTCAAATAGATCTTGTCTATGACATGTCCTGGGAAAACTGATCTCATCTAATAGCTCACATTGCTTTGAGTAGAAATTTGGACTAGACAATTCCTGAGGTCTCTTCTCATCTGAATTAACCCATGTGAACCTTGTATCAAAGGATCGCTTTCCCTGACAGTGAGTAATGCTAAATTTCATGTCTCTCCTCTGGATTTCACTAGTTTCCCAAATCCTAACCAGCTGGTCACTCTGGGATGAAACTGTGTGAACTACAGGAATATTATTCATCTTTTTGCCAGGCCTTCTCCTATACCAGAGGGAAGGCAAATTGCAGAATAATTCACATTTTTACAAATAGCAGCCAGAGTTAATGTAGTTCAGATGCTCAAAAAAAGGAAACAGTTAAGCTGAAGGCATCAGTCAAATCCTCCATTCTGGCCTGGCCATTCTACTTGAAGTCTATCTTGGACAATAAATAATTTCAACTTTCTTAGCCATTGCTTCATTATAAATAGCCATCCTTGTGGTTCCCCTAAAAAAGCAAAAGTTAAGACTTCATAAGCAAATTTCCTAGGATGGCTAGTCATATGTTTGGCATCACTTCACCATTTTTTAGTCCCTAACAAAGAAGATCCACAACAGGAAAGGGAAACATGAATCATCTAATCAGTAAAAATTTCCCTAAATTATTTTTCTGTATACAGATCACTGAGCGGAACGGGGAGGGATTGGCAAAAAACAAACAAAAAAAAATAAAGAAAGGCAGTTGACAATTAATGCAGAAACAAGTCTGGGGGGAAAAAATGTTTTCAGTTCTATGTATTATGATGTAGAGCATTCATCATTTACCACATACTCAATTTTCTCTCGCAAAATTCAGAAGTATGATTACAATTATGATTGGTTGGCCCATTCTCTTTAAGAAATGGACTTCTCTGAGTGCATTAAAATCCAAATACCTGTATTGTGCTAACTTGCTTTTCAGAATAATTGCTCCCTTATTAATCTGCAAAATTCTCAAACACAGCAGGACTGAAAATAATTTACTAAGGTACCTATCAACCACTGTTTTTCTACTTAAAAACGCCCACCACCTGCTTTGCTGTATTTGCTGTTGAAATAATATTAAAAGACAACAACAAAGGACAGGAAAATAAAGTGGATAAAGAAAAATGAATTTTAGAGAACAACTGATTTCTAGCACTTGCATTTGAGCAGCCTCTAGTGGGAATTGCAGAAAACACTATGCTCCTGAAGAACAAGAATGAACACTAGAGATCTCTCCGGGAGACAACAATCTGCTTTACTGCAGCAGAGGTTTCAGAAGTTCTTTTCCTTTCTGAAGTGAAAGAAAAATTGCTTTGCACAAAAAAAAGTTGAAGATAAGCTCTGTTGCACCAACTACAGCTGAGAATTGACATCTCTCTTACCCAAAAGTGAATATATGCACTGTGCATATAAAGTCAGTGCCAAACAAAACTACAGATTTAATTATTTTGAAACTTAGGTTGTAAAAACCCCATCTCCTCTCAATTTTTTTCATATTTAAAAAAATATATATACCTTTAGATTAAGAATTTTCATGTATAGCAATATTTCTACTATTTGGTAGAAATTTTATTAGATAACTGAAAATAAAAACCTTCTTCTTTGGGTCACATCATTCCAATTATAGCATATTGGGCTGTATTTCTTACATTACCACAAACCTTAATTCTTAGTTTTAATTATATTGAAGTATGTTTAAAGTTTGGTCAGGTGACATTACATTGCATTATCTTCCATCAGTGTACACTGTTTTCCATAGTTTACCAGCTATCAGATATTAAAGTATTCACCTAGAACTCTACAACCACAGATTTTTTTCTTTCAGAAAACAATTTCTTTCTTAAGTGTGTACCTAACTTAAATTTACCATATAATTTTTCTAACTGAAACCTATATTATCTGTAGTTCTGTATAAGTACAAAATTTGTTAAAATAGCTAAATCACAGCTGTATGTCAGAAAATGGGTTTCCACTAACTTGAGAGGTAGCTTTCCTGCACTGTCCCAGCCATTCAAACAACAGAAACAATGCAGTAGTATTAAAGACATTTCTACAAAGCTCATTTACATTCTAACTAAAAGTCAAAAAGCAGAAAGGATGGAAGCAATTATATCAAAGATACTTCCTCTACCTCCAGGCCACACAGGGGCAGAGATTATTAGAAGTTTAAAATGAGCAGTGAAAGGCATATAAAAAAAAGAAGAGATCAATTCAGGTGAAAAAAAAAAAAAAAAAAAAAAAAAAAAAAAAAAAAAAAAAAAAAAAAAAAAAAAAAAAAAAAAAAAAAAAAAAAACCAAAAAAAAACTTTATATAGTCACAGTTCTACTAGCGCTCAATTTTAACCTGTTTTTACAGAAAGGATCTTAAACCCAGCTAGTATTATACCACTTACATGAAGTTAAAGCAGCTTCTTGGCTGAAACTACATAGCAAGTATACTAGGATCCTTTCCCTTGTGTATTCCATCCTCAGACACTTCCAAGTTCACAGCACCAAACTATGCCTTTTATCCCTACCTAATACAACCCCCTCTGCTGAAGTGTTGTGCCCTAGACCCTATGGAGAAAAATTCCCTGTTGAACATAGCTGTCTACGCAATATTTTTCAAATTTTCTGGTTTTACATAGATCTTCTCAATCTATTCTCTGATTTTTTCAATAAAAGATAAATGCAAATTCTGAAAAAATTAGACAAATTCTGCAAAGCTAGAGAATGGCAACTTTCATATTTGATACATAATCGGAAATAAAAAAGAGTGACCTTTTACTCAAGATACAAACAAGGATACTTCTAAGCAATGCAAAAGGTTCTGTTTCCCCAATGAATTCTCACACCCATCTAGTCCTCACTTAAAAAAACAAACAAACAAACAAAAAAAACCTCCTACGGCTAAGAAGCAAAGGCTTTTATCCCTGTGACTGCATGCCCAGCCTTATTTTCTTCCCAGTCCCACCAGTAAAACATTTTCAACCTATGTTGGATCTGTCACCTATGTACAAGATCAGTCTTTCTGAAACCAGTATCAAGCTGATCTTTAAAAGAAAAAAAAAAAAAAAAAAAAAAAAAGGAGAAAAACTGGATTTGGATCAATGTTTGTGTGTACAGATTTGCTGAAATCAAAACTGATGTTTGAGCAAAATGCCTCTGCTCAAACATGAAAACATATTTCATACTAAGTATGCCAGATACCAGCAAGAAGATATTTTCTACAACATCTCAACTAAAACGTGGCTTTAGACTCCAGTTCTGCACCTTGAAAGGGCAGTAACTGTCCTTTTCACTTTTACATGAGTAATTTTTTCCTCAAAGTTCTCAGTAGCAGCTACAAGACATTGCATAATACAATAAATTTATCAAATGAAGACAGACTTTCCACTCCAAGTGAGGGATGACTGATAATGTGAAACCTAAGCTAAAGAACTTTATAGAATTGCTAATGAAAACGTGTCTTGTAATACATAGCAAAATCTGAAGAATCTGTATATGAGTCAATTTTAAGTAGATCACAAAAAAGGCTCATTTCCATAATTTGAAATTTCTTTCACCAAAAGCAGCCAGGATCCTCTACCTACTTTCAGAATGAAAGCATTAATAGATTTATTAGAAACATAGGATGTCAGAAGAAACAACTATTTTGTTGAAATGATGAAGGTTAGCCAAATTACATCTTGGGTACATAACCCAGCACTTTGTGAGTCTATTTTCATTTTTTTTTTCAACAGAGCATTTCACTCATATTGAAAATTTACAGTCAGAGTAATAGTCATCTCTTGGAAAACTGAATACAGTTTATATTTATATGAAGCAGTTAGTTAAGAGCTATAAAAACTAAAAACAAAGAGCAGAGTATTGCAGTAAACTTCTGTTAAATCACCTTCAAAAGGTTAGATAATTTGTACCAAATTCAACATCTATCTGTTCAAATAGACTCCATAAAAATTATTAGAAGAAAAAATAAAACCCAAAATAATTTAAAAAACTGACAGATGCTAGAAGGAATTAATAAGAAACTTTAGATAAATTATTTAATATCTGACACAAAAGGTAAAGCTAGAAGGTTTGGTTCAAATCTCAGAACCTTAGCAGTACACCTCAAAATTCATTAGCTTCCCTGAACAGGCTTCTGAATGCTTCCTAAAATCCTACATTTGCAGTATCAACAAATTACCTAGAGACATACCTATCCAAGAAATTCTACAATTGGAGTGAGATTAATTCTAGTTCATAAAACTGTATTAGGAATCAGAAAGTAGCCCAAATTAATCAGGATTTACAGCATTTGCAGCATTATGAACTATAAAGGCAATTCCATTAGCTTTCTATTATATTGTTTTTCTTTGGGCTACCAGTGGACTGCATAGTAATATTAAACCCAGTGTTTTAATAAATCACTACTTGAACTTTTATTTCCTTAGAATTTTTTTTTCAAACAGCCAATATTAAATAGTTAGCACAGATGATAAAACCTTATTAAACAAGATGGTATAAGAAAATCATAATTAAAAAGTAGAATACATTCCCTGGTTCAGGAGTAAATAGCAAAGTTATCATCAGCCTACCTAGGAACAAAAACTGATTTGTGCATGTCCACTGACCATAGCAGAATGAGAAATTAGCCCCTGTAGACATAAAAGAACCCTCCTTTTCTTCACATTGTGTCAGCACACAAATCCAGCCCACCCCACAAAAACACAGAGCTGCATCACATGAGGAATTTCTGCATACTTCCCAGCTGCTGTAAGAAAGAGAAGTGCAGGCACAGTCCCTGGGGAACTCAGCTGCCTAAAATCCATGTGCAGACAGCAATTTTTCAAAGCTTTAATTTCATACACCCCATATAAATTTTCATGGAAGCATCAGGAGACGTACTGTGGACAGACAGGGTTGCCGCTTGTCAAATGCTACCTGCCCATTTCAAGGCTCAGCAATAGCAGAGATTTTCAGAGACTAAGAGTCTCCAACATTTTTTCTTAATTTAATTTTCAACAGTGGATCAACAGCTTTGTATGAGAGGTTCCAAAATTAGTCCACCAAAGTATTCATCTTTTAAATAAAATGAACAGGTTAATCTTTGGTAAAGTTTTAAAAATTGCAACCCACCTAACAAACATGAGGTGTTTGCTAATCTTAATAGGCAGCATTAATATTCACCTATAGAAAAGCTGGGTATCACTTCAGAATATCTTAACCCTGTACATTAATTCAAACTATGGAAGTTATCTTTGGAACCAACAATTATTCAAAACCAAAAATTTCTGCCATTTCTTCCTTGAAAGTGTCCCTAGATAGGTAAATTTCCCACCATCCCACCCCAAATAGTAATTTTAAACATTATTATGTAAATTACACAGACTCCAAAAGAAGCAGCTATATACATGAGTGTTCATACTATCAAAAATCTAAACAATGTAGTAAGACTTCAAAAATAGCATTTTTTACCTGTTCAAACATTTGTCAATTTTTTTTTCAAATAGCAACATATACAAAATTTCAACTGCTGGGAGAGCAACCACTGCTACTTGTCAATCTTTTTTAAAATGTAGTTTAAGAACTACAGTTTTACTACAGAAAGCAAAATTAAATTTTATAATCACAACATTCACAACAGCTGAACTTCAGTCTAATCCTCTGTACTGATCTAAATGCTTGTTATGTCTATCAGAACTTACCTAGGCTTGCTGTGAGGCATTCCAGATCTGCTAAGAACCCAGGTATTTGCTGAAGCTGATCCTGCAGTTCCACCAGACTGCTCCTTTTCTTCTCCCAGTGTGCAGAAAGCATCACAACTTCACTGTCGACCAGCTGCAACAGAGGTCTTTTAATTACTGTTCATGAGCGTCTTGACTAATTTTTATAATTAATACATTTGGAAGCATAAGGTCAGCACAGCAACCCTACAACACTGCCACTTGTGTACTCCTCAAGTAAATAAACAATATGCTCAAAAAAATCCCCCTTAATATGGAATATTTATATCAAAATGCACTGAACAAAAATATGGCAAAAAGTTATTTCTCAATGTACTAATCAATGCAGGAAGTATTTTACAGATGTTATTAACTGTAAGCAAGATGTACCTGAAATTTTGGCAGCCATGTTGCATTGGTGCACAATAACAACATCGCTGTGCTGCAATTTTGGGTATATTTATATCAATAGTTTAATGTTGCCAGTCATACCAATTTCATCTTAACAATAAAAATGAAAATTCTGGACATGCAAAGTAGTCTAGAAGATAAAGTAAAAGGAATGACATTTTAAAAAAGTTGCGTTTATAACATTACTGCTCGTCTGCTTTTGTGATAAACTGCAGTAGTGCCAAGTGTTTATGAACACATTTCTACATTACTTCAATTCTTGTTGTTCCATTCTTCTTAACTTTTATTATATAATGATACCCTACTTCCAAGTTTCACTTATATTTTCTATGAAAAACACCAAGATCAAGAGATCTTGGGTAACAAATGTTTCCATTATATATATTTGAGATGATTCTATTATTGTTTCCCTGTTCTTAATTCCATTACCCATTCTTCCTCTTGCACACAACTACAACCTGTGGCTGTATCTGCATTCTGAATTCCTCAATTTCTATAGTCTTTATAGGCAGAAACTGAAAAAGCCTGAGGCAAAGGAGCTCTCAAATTTACAATTCTACCCACTTTATATCAATTATTTTAAAATAACAACTTCTATCTTTTGCAAATTCCTCTAGCTACCTATCCCTGTTAAGAAAACATCCTGTTTCACCAGACAAGTTTTGAAAACTTATTCCAAAGCCCAGTGAGAAATGGAACACTTCAAAAGACCTAACAGTCTTAAATAAAGCCAGGTCTATTTCTGAGACTGGGATATGTTATTTATGTCTGTGAAACAGTAAAGCAAAAAAAAAAAAAAAAAAATCAAAACCACTATGAGATGGGGACAAACACCACAAATATTTCAGTCCTGAGATAACTGAATGCAGCTGAAATGACAGCCATCTAAAAGGACAATTTTTTACATGGAACTGGTAGTTAACATCTACCATTTAGCATGGTAAGACTCTATGCTGCAATTAAAGCTTGAAATTTTCACTTTACTCAACATTTATAAATAAGACAGCACAAGTAACCAGAAATATAATACTGGACAAGTGGACCTTTAGGTCTTCTACAGTACCATCAATCTTCTGTGCTTACAGAGTTTTTATTTTCCCCTTTTATAAAAATATAACAAACAAAACTCTGCAAGCAATTCATACACACTGAGTTGTGTGTAAAGTAAATATCTGAATTTAATGGAAAATTTAAGTCTTTTTGGAAGTTTTTAATTCTCATTTTCCCAAGCAGCCATAACATGTGAGATTAGGTTATATTAGTTAAATATATATGAAACCTCACATTGTTTTCAAAATTACAATTTTTAAAGCAAACTGTAACACATATAATAAAATTGTGACCACATCATTTATGAGATTTCCTAGGAAAAAAAGATCATTATGAGCAGTAAAACATGCCAAACTGGCAAGGAGAACTCCATCTCCAGTGCCTGAAGGTTTTCACTGAACTACAGGGAAAAGCAGGGCTATACCATTAGGCAAGAGAAAAAAAAAAATGTAAGAGACCTTCTTTCTTACTGTAAATATTCATCCACTCTAAAAAGGTATAGAGAAGTCCCTAAGTGAAGAGAAGAGCCAGGAAGGATGCACTCAGCCAAAGTGAAGTGTTCAGCCAGGACAGAGAACCTCACAGTTCAGTCCTTTTTTGCATCATGGCCACCCAGATTACACTGTCTGCCCCTTACCCGTGGCTTCAAACTGAAAATCTGGCCTGAGTAAGGCATCAGCAACACTCACTGGAAGTTTCCTTTCCCTTCATTCCACAAATAAACCACACAACTTGTCACTTTGCTTCCAGAGCAGGAATAGTGAATGAAATCAGGGGAAAGCACAAATACTTCCCAAATCTTTTCTACTGGCCAAGTCAATCTTGCTGTCTCTTGTGCACTGTGAGTGGGCAGCAGTGCCACAGCCCTGCCCTGATACAAACCACTAAGGTGCCTCAACCCCAAATACATTCTGTACCTTCCCAGCTATGCCCCACTGCTTTTAAAGATCTACAGCAATAACACACAACATCATCTTTGTAACTGTTTACATCGCATCACGTTATTTGTTATTTCACATTTGTATTACATTGTTGTTTACATTACTGTGAGAGTGAACAAAGCTGTGTGGATGTTTACCTGGAGTTTACCTGTGGGCCAAGGTTAACTCAGTAGGCTGGTACTAAAAATTTTAGTTTAAAATTATTTACACATTTTAAAATATTTAATGCATGGCATTGTTATTTTTTCTTACCTCTCCAGCTTTTGCACAATCTTTGGCTCCTTTATGAAGGGCAGCCCAAGCATCTTCATATCTGAAGAGAAGACAAATTACTATTCTTACTGCACTCTCGTTACAAGGGAAAACATGGATGTCACTGTGCTCATATTTGCAGGTACTACCAGAAATTACAGCTTAAAAAGCTGTGTAATTCTTTCCAGTACTTACTGGTCTGCTAAGACCAATGAGAGATAGTATCTTCTGAAGAAAAAGTGATTTTATGTTTTTTAACCTACTAACTGACATTAAAAGCTAAGTGGACCCAACAATACTTAAAAGACAACTCACTGCCTTAAACGTCACTTGGAACTCAGTTAAGAAAATGAAAAAAAACCCACAAGATTGTAATCATACATAAACTGCTTCCAAAAAAAAAAAAAAAAAGACAGAAGGAAATGATATCAAATATCTTTAAGTTATGACCCACAGACTGTGGCTCAGTGCTGGAGCTCAGTGCTTCACCCTTCTGCATTAGGATATGGACTAGAATAATCTTTTAAATGCAGCTTTTCCTCCAGAACTTCAGTTTCGTTAATATGACAGTACTTCAGAATTGGGCAAGCTTTAAACACATTTATCATTTGGTAACACTCCCACAATACTAACTCCAGAACAACCAAAAACCTATTAGCAACTTAGATTTTCTTCTCCAATTTCTTTCTTAAGAAATTAGATTTTTTAATCTAATATAGGAAGCAAACACTAATAAAGAAAAGGAAGGTCATACCTGCTTAGTAATTCCAGTCCAGCAGAAAACTCTGGCAAACACTGAACAGTTCTATAAAACAAATTGCAAATGTACAAAATGGTTAAAGAAAAAAATATTATAAAAAATGTGTGCACATACATCTGACAGATATGCTGAGCACAGAAATGTTTCCTCCTGCTTCTATTTTCACAAACATTTTTCCAATTTTGGTTTAAAATGCATTACATGGTGTATCTTACAAGAATATTCCAAATATAGGATTACTTTTACTCCTTGTTGTTTTATGACAGCCTAGTCTTACCCCTTTTCAACCATGTCAATTAAAAAACAAGTTTTGTTGAATAATTTCTAAGTCCAGTTAACAAAGATATAGGATGAACATAATTTTAACCTAAAAAAGGGCACGGAACCATTCTGAAAAAAGACTACTACACAAGTTCATGTCCCTCAATACAAATATTCCACTTAATATATTCTACACTAAAAATAATTTTAATTCTCTAATGATCTCCTATTCGATGAATACACTTCCATTAATAACAGTTTGAAGTATAAAGACATCTTAAGTTATAGAAAATTAACAATACAGTACTTCTAAGGATGTGAAAATCTTGATATTATCCAAAAATTGTCTCTTGGAAGATTACCCAAATAGAATGTTCTGCACTAGCATCTAAGCAATTTGAATGGGAAAAAAAAAATACAAACAAACCACCATAAATTAAATCTTCTTGTCCTTAAGGCAAGGGAAATATGACAGTATCAGTGAGGTGAAAAGGGACCTCAGGAAGTTTCTTTTCCAATCCCCTGTTAAAACCTGTTTAAAAGCAGATTTCTCAGGAAGCTTTTCTCAGCTTTTTCTGTCTGATCATCTCTTGTTTCAACTTAGGCCTATCACCTTTTGAGTTCCCACCACAAACCAGTTTCCTCAATAACCACTTCAGGTGTAATGACAGGCTGCTGCTAGGTCTCCCAGAAGTCACCTATTCTCCAGGCTGAACAGCTGCCCATCTCAGCCTTTCCTCATACACAAAGTTCCTGCCCCAACCATTTTGGTGGCCCTCCACTAATTGCTCCAGAATATTAACACCTTTCTCAAACTCGGGACCAAACTGGACAGGATAGTGATCTAAGGTGTGCTGAATGCAGGGGACAATCACTTTCCTCAATCCTATTGTCTGGGTATTGTTGGCAGCCTCATTAGCTGTTGTCCTTCCCTGCTACAAGGCATGTCCTGGGTTCACATTCCGCCTGCTGTCTGCCAAGAACTTCAGGGTCGTTTTAGCAAAGTTACTTCCCAGAAACAACCCCTGTCTGTATTGTTGCAGGGCATACTTTCTTCCCAGGGAAACATGGAATTTGTACCTCTTGATTTTCATGAGGTACCTCTTGGCCCATACAGACTTAGGAGCTTTTATGGATTGAATATCTTCAATCACTACTGGTCAGTATCCTTGACCCCCTTCACTAAGCACAAGGCACTGAAGCCACAAAGGCATTAAATAACTAAACAATCTCTACATTTTCTGTAATTTACCCCATTCATCACCAATCCCATGTTTTCTTCCAGCCTTTTATGAGCAGTGCAGGGCTAGCCGCTCTTCTTGTCCTTAACATCTCTTGTAAATGTCAGTTCCAGGTGAGCTCTGGCTTTCCTAAGGCTATTCCAGCATGCCAAAGAAGTTATGAAGAAGCATCAAGAAATTATCCTTGACACCTTCACAGGGAACTTCTTGATTGCATACTAACAGGCTGTCCTTTCAGGAGTTGGAAGCTGAAGGCTCCCAGAAGAATAGGGGTTTGATGATACAGAGGACTCCTCAAGCTGTTTGGAGAAAACATAATTTTCTCCCTTGTCAGAGGGTCAGTGACAAACTCCCAGTGCAACACCACCCTTAGTGGCCTTTCCTTGGTTCCCATTCATGTGCCCTCAGCCATCCTGACAACCAAGCTAAGCTGTGTTTGTCCCTGAACTTTATTAGCAAAGCAGAAGCCACCCCAACATTCCCGTGTTTCTGCTGATTCAATTGGTTCACCCAGTGCTTTTCTCAAAAAGCAATGGATATTTATTACAGTACTCCAGAAGAACCAAAATACTGAGGACTGGAAACACACAGAGAAGGCAGTTGCCTAAAATAGTTTTATTCACACCTTCACCAATACTTAGTTTAGCCTCCATGCCTTGTCCATACAACAGGTCCTCTATTAAAAAAAAATTATCTAAAACATCAGGACTCTGAACTTAGGACAATTTATTTCAGCTGCTTTATTTTTAGCACTTGGCTTGTTTTTATACTAATTAGTGTCTACACAGTATGCTTTAACAAGAACATGTTTACACTAAAGCATATCTGAACTGATTTTAAGAAGTAACTCACAGATGTCATTTACAGACATCAAGTCTTTCCCTGTAGCTCACATAGGTTGAAAGAATGAGCAAAGAACTAAAATGTACAGGACTAAAAATATCCCCAAAACAATGAAAGAAAGAAAACCAAATCAGCACAATTCTCAAAACTTCTTGGAACAGAAAACTGAAGTATTTCATTACACACATATTTTCCACAGTAAAAAGGCTCCTATTTATGTTTTTACATTAAGAAATCCCCTGAGTTACAATTTTAAGACATGAGATTCACAGAGATTGTAAACAATTACATTTCAGTGTACTGCAACCTGAATCTTCTATGAGGTACTACAATAACACTGCATATTCATTTAATTTACATAGTAATTTATAAACTGATTGACAGCCATTAGAAATTATTTAGGCCTATCAATGAAGGCTGTATTAAGCAAAGCATTTGCTTTTGTTATGCTTCTGTTGTCAAAATAGTATTTTGTAAAATCATATGCAAATGTTCTTGTAATTGGCTCATATACATGAGCCACTTCAAATATTTCCTTAACAAGAGTATCTTATATTAACGCTATATATTAAGGCATTCAGAAGTACCTTTGCCTACTTTTCTTTGCATCTCTTGATTTGTCGCCCAAAGTCTTCAACCTACAAATCAAAACAAATCCATGAGACATTTACAACACCAAAAACAGAGAACAAATTGTTTGAGCACATAATGCACATCCAGTCTATTACAGTTAATTTTGTTTCAGCTTGTTTCACAAATATATCAAATTTCCCTCAGTTTTGTGGATGCCATCATATGAATTTATTTCCACTGACACTTCTGCTAAATCTTGAGATTTTTTGCAGAAGGGCATCAGACAAGCCCTTTGTGGCCACAAAAAAGTTTTATTGCCCAGGACAGTAAGAAATAAATGGCACAGACATAAGCAAGATGGAAATTAACTATGAGAGCCAAAGATATCCGCAGACGTGACAGAGACATTTGTAATCCTGAGTGACCCAGAGACTGAGAAACAACCTAATATAGAGACAGATATTCAGGCTGTTTTGAGGGGTAGTCAAATCACTCACCCAGTCTTGATCACTGTTTTCCAGGAACTCAAAGAAACATCAAAGCTCTACAGCACACCAGGTGGTTGACATTTTGAGAAAAGACATGCTAAGGCAGGTCTCCACTCCCTCTCAGAGAGCTGTTTGTAACAGCCAAACCAAGTAGCAACAACTGAGGAAGAACCCACTGCTGAGAGAAGCTGTGAAATTTGCCCTTCTCCACTCTTCTGCATCCCTTTTGGTTGTTTTTCCTCTTCCTGCAAGTCTTGCTAACAGGTGAATGGGTCAAAATTTAGTTTACGTCGCTCACAGGACACACAGAATTAAGCAGATATAAGGAAGAGGCCACAGAAATAGCTAATAACTCTAAGCTGGTCTTTTTAAACCACACAACCCAGATTTAATCTTTTTTCAGCAATACATACATGTTCCCATACTCCTTGGGAAGTGGTATTATCTTCTTAGAAGCCCTGGAAAACCTTCCCCCTCACAATTTTATGAAATTCAACTTGTTCTACTTTGCAAGCATCTACGTGTAGTTAACAAGTTGGCCACAATTTGACACCAAAAATACTTTCTTTGGCTTTTGAGAATTATACAATTTTAAGCTAAAGTCTCAGCATCACAAAATGACTTATTTTACCACTTTGATGGGGTGCAGGACAGAGTAATCCAGAACACCAAGAAATTAGGTTTAACGGTCTACGAAGGAAGAGGAGGCAAACCAGGTCAACTTGTGTTCTAGCTACATGGGGATACTAAAGGAAAAAAACAACAACAAAAAAAAGCCTTCCACAGCCTCTGCTGCTGTGGTTCTGAGATACAGGCTCCCAATGACAAAAAAACCCAAACCAAAAACAAACAAACAAACAAACAAACAAAAAAAAAACCAAAAAAAAACAAAAAAAAAAAAAAAAAAAAAAAACCCAAAAAACAACACAAAAAAAACCCCACCAACTAAAAACACCAAGACATTACACCACAGATGAAAATACTACTTGAAGACAGGATACTGGGAAAAGGACACATTAATGGAGCTGCCAAAACACAAAGATGGACATTATGAAATCTGGGACTGTTGTCAGAACAAAACTTTGCAACACCAGGAAGAAAGCAAAATGGAAATATATTAACTCCACTGCAGTAAATATGGAAAACACAAATATGGAACCACAGAGTTAAATGACCATCAGATCTGGCATGTTGTGATCTTTCTGTTGTTTTCTTTCACCATGTGAAAAACACCCTTTTCAAAAGAGCCTTACACTGTGCTGAGATATCAACTCCTCTGAGAAGCAAAAGACAAAGTCAGACAAAGCAGACAAAGCAATGCTTTTGTGTGTATTTTTTAGAGTTTAATATTCAGTTTCTGTTTGGTAAGATGAGGCAGATAACATGCAAGCAATTTATCTGTTTGACTGGCAGCCTCTTCTATCAGTTTCTCTTGACCATCATACACCAGCACAAGTAACTAATGATAAACTGCTTATTTTAAGTTACTGGGGTATACAGACATACCGTAGGGGTATTATAAGGCAGCCTTAGCATTGCCAAAGACTACAGAGTTTTTAAACGTAAACTATTACAACACGATAGTTTCCTGTGGCTCACCATGAGCCATCAGCTCTGCAGCACAGGCATGACTTTGTCCTCCGGCCACTCGCTGGCTTCCAGTGACACTCACCTGGGCCACCTGCTTGTACTAAAAACACCATCGACACGGGGCCTACCCACATAAACCTTGTGAGACAACGTAGGAAGAAGATCTTCCTACATTTTAGCGCAAGCATGGGGCTGTTCCATCTGCGCTTCTTTTCCTCAAGTGACAGTAACTCATCTTCCAAGTAAAAGCAAGTTTCTCCACACGCCAAGTGGCGCCCAGAAATGTTCTTTAAGGGATTACGCTCACCCATGAAACCTTGAAGGTCGGTAACTTCATAAAAAATTCAAGCGCGTTAAGTGACCCCATTCGCATCGTGTCTCACAACAGCGGTGTGCCTGTCCTCCTGCGCCCTTCCCCTGACCGCAGCTGCTTCCCGGGCACCGCGGCTCCTCCTCCTGCTCCCCAGCGCTGCCCGCAGCGCCGCAGGGCGCCCGGCCCGCCGGGACACGGCGGGATTCGGCACCCGGAGCCGTGCTCCAGCCTGCCCCCGCACTCCGGGCACTCCGTGTGACAGACCGGCCCCGGCAGTGCCTCCCGTCTGCGCAATCCCCTCCTCTTCCTCCCTCCGGTGCCAGCCCACGCCTCCCCGGCCGCCGGTCACCTGCTTTCCCCCCGCCCGGCCGGGCCGCGGGCCTCTCCCGCTGCCCCGCCAGCCCCAGGCGCCGCAGGCGATACCCACCCGGCGGTGAGGTCCTGCTGGACGCTCAGCAGCCGCTCCCGCAGCGTCTCCAGCATCTTCCCGGCCTTTCCCGGCTGCGAAGGCCAGCGCCGGAGGGCGGGGCGCGGGCGGGGCGCCGCTGAGCTCCTGCCCCCGGTGCCGCCTCCCCTCGGCCCGCCCCGCCCCTCCCCTCCCGTCCGGGCACTGGGGTTGGGAGCGCGGCTTCGCCGGGGAGAGCCGAGCCCCTCGCTCTGCGTCCTCCGCGGTGCGAGGGTAGAGCTAAGCTTAAAGCCCGGGCGGTGCCAAGGACAGATCTTGAGCAGCGTGCGAATCCCTGAAGTTGCGGCTTTTTTAAAGACCGCAGGAAAGCACCTTGGCGGGTTGGGACCCTCGCCAGAGGGATTTTGACTTCAGCGTTGGTAGCGTAGGAGTGACCTCCTTAGCGATACAAAGTTGATCAAGGGACTGGAACATCTCTTTTAGGAGGAAAGGCTGAGGGAGCTGGGCCTGTTCAGCCTCGAGAAGAGGCAACTGAGGGGGACCATATAAATGTCTGTAAGTGTGCGAAGGGAAGGTGACAAGAGGATGTAACCAGGCTCTTCTTGGCGGTGCCAAGCAATGGGACAAGAGGCAGCAGGTGTAAACCGATGCCCAGGAAGCTCCACCAGAATATGAGGAAGAACTTGACTGTGTGGCTGACCAAGCACTGGAACAAGTTGCCCAGAGAGGTTGCGGTTTCCCTATTTGGAGATATTCAGGATCCATCTGGATGCAGTCCTGTGCCATGTGCTCTAGGATGACTCTGTTTGAGCAGGGAGGTTGGACCAGGTGACCCACTGTGGTCTATTCCAACCTGACCTATCCTGTGAACTCAGGGAGTCGGGTTCTGTGATAAAATCTAAAAAGTACGGAAAGCAAAACCATTGGGTGTCCCTAGAGTTGACAGGGTCTTGGAGTAAGGGATAGACAATAACCTTTCAAAGTCCTTGCAAAGCAGGTAGTTGAATTGTCTATGTGTCCCTCCACTATTTGCTTTGGAGATGGTTTTATAGATACTAGTGATTCTTACAAACAATGAGCGAAAAGAAAAAAGGCTGTTCTTACAAATAGTAAATAATCCAGTGAAAAGTTCAAATTAGATTTCTAGGTACTGTCTGCTCAAATAATAACTGTTAGGAGTAATTCAGCAAATCTTTAGACAGTTTAAGTGGAATCAAGACCTTTTCAGAACAATTTGCCAGTCTTTCTGGGTGGCTGTATTTACAATTACAGTAACAGTCTCCTACCCTGTGTGTTTTCAATTAATGTTTGAGTGACATGGACATAGGATTTAGGTGGATTTGGAACTTCCATTTAATTGAGACTTCAACTTTTAGAAAAAGATGAGATTTCAAAGTGAAAATATTTTCTAACCAATTCAATTTTGGTTGAAAGTTCCAAAAATATAAAGAGCAGAGCACTGAAATAATCTGTTACAAGGAGAATGTATGCAGCGAGCTGCTGCTGGATGTGTCATTTGATACTGCAGAAGTATATTCAGGAGTGGTTGGAGGTAATTTGAATCAACTGGAAAATTGACACCATAATCCAAGACAGCTTGTGTGCTTTTCAAAGTGTATATGACCTATAGATTGTTTCTGCTTTGGTGTTTTGAAAAAAAAGTATTGCCCTGTGGCATAAATTCAAATTAAAAGCTAAACGCTTGCTAAAAGAAAAATGGTTGGGTTGATATTCCAAACATTGAAATGGATACAGCTTGCCTTATCTTGAGGTCAGAAAGACAATTTTCATGGCAGACTGCATATAAAATTCTGTAAAAAAAGTATGATATTTAGAAGGTATTTTTCTCATGCTTGACCTAACAACAATTTCTGAAAATAGAGACTTCCTACTTGCCTGTATAGTTAGTCCTTCAGAGAAGGAGGGGAAGGCCTTGAATCAAGTGTTTTCTCATGTATTCACCGACATGCATTGCAAATGCTGACAAAAGCCTTGCAATCTGGCCTTATGTAATATATGATGTTACAGGAATTAAAGTGCTCAGAAGACAAGGGAGGGGTTTTAACCTTTAATTTTCAGTTTTCCTTTGAGAAATCATATTAATTTCTTCAGTGTTACATATTTTCAATTTTCTTGTGACTGGTTTTTGTCAGTGGTGGCCCTGCTAATTCACAGTGAATAAGCACTTTGAGATTCCATTGCTTCTTTTGCAGTTAGAAAAACTATTCATAAACTGCTGTACAGTTTTGTTTCACATGTCTGTGTAGGATTTGGGAGAAGAAATGTGTTGAGATAGTATTAACAGCCACTAATTCTAGAAGTACAAGACTGGAAAAAACTTCTAAAAGCACATCCCCTGCTCAAGGGCTGTGATGAATTATAAATACACTGTGTAAACTTTGTTTAATTGGTTCTTAGGAATTTAAAATTAAGGAGATTCTGCAAGCTCCTTATCAGCTCACATGTTTAGCTTTATC